TCTCGACACCCTCCCCCCCACTCACAGAGACCGTGAACCCCTCCCACTGCTTCTACATATCTCACTACCCAACATATCTCGATACAACAGGCTTTGCTGCTATTTCTCCTTGGTGAGGATGACTGTGATCCTCTGCCTGCCTGCTCTGTGTTTAAAGATGGCCATACGTTTCCTTAGAAGAAACCGGCTGGTTCCCGTGCGCAAGGGGATGTTTTAAAACATGACCCAAATGGCGCCCGGTTGTCCCTGTTGCGTAACTGCAGTACACTGTGTATATTTTAAATTAGCATTTGGGTTCACCCGAGGATGCCAGAGCTCTGTGCGGCACTACTCCGCCCTCCCTCCGCCTCTCTCCAGCTCCCAGAGGAGGTGTGTTTAGACCCAGCGCAGGTCCTCTCTGTGCCTCGAAGTAATGCCTCTTCAAGTCCATCCCCGCTTTGTTAGAGTAGTTTCTTGGCCCCCCCACCCTTCCCTGCTGCTCGCCACCAGGCCAATTTGGGGTGCGGGAGGGCCTTTCTGGGATGGGAAAAACACCAACAAAAGCAGGAGAGAGAAGGGCAAAGTCGAATTGATAGAGACAAGGTTTGGCTGAGAGAGGGGGCTGAGTGTGCGAGTTGGTGGCCCCGAAAGGCCGGACAGCAGCTGCTGAGAAGTGTGTGCTCTATGAGGTGGGAGGCCATGGGGAGCCGGGAGGTCACAGCGGGAAGATATGCAGGGCGAATGCAGGTGGGCGGAGGGCAAGCAGAGGAGGAGGGGGAGGAAGGAGGAAGAAGGGAGGAGGGTGGGAGGAGGCAGTGCCTGGGAGCGGACAGAATTGGGAGACAGGATGGGGCGCCTGGGTGGCCCAGTCAGTTAAGCGTCTGCCTTCGGCTCAGGTCATGATCTCAGGGTCCTGGGATCGAGCCCCGCATCGCATCGGGCTCCCTGCTCCGCAGACAGCCTGCTTCTCCCTCTCCCTCTACCGCTCCCCCTGCTTGTGCTCACTCACTCTCTCTGTCAAGTAAATAAATAAAATCTTTAAAAAAAAAAGAAAGAATGGGGAGACAGGAGACGGTTGCTGCCCCAAGCATGGTGACACACCCTTGGCCTGGGTGGTGGCAGCAGGAAGAGCGAGCCGACCCTGTGACACTCGGGGCATCCTCCTCTTGCTAGAGTGGAATCTCCAATGACGTGCCAGGTGCTGACGGAGGGCCTCACCTGATCCCAGGATGGGAGAAGGCACATAACTCAAGAGCAAAGCCAGATGACAGAGGAAAGCCCGAAGGGAGGAGGGAACCTTCTAGCTCCTCAGGACCCAGTCTTGGTTGTTATAAAAATTATTTGTGTGTGTGTTTTTCTTTTTAGCACTTTAGGAGTTGTGTGTGTGTGTGTCTGTGTGTGTGTGTGCATATGATGCAGGGGGAGTCGGGGAGCAGAAAGCAGAAGGTGGCATTTACTATGTTAAGTCTGTACCTGCACAGTTTAAGGGCTGGAAGCGTTGGCGTTTCAGAAGCACACGCGGGGCGAGGCCTGGCTGTCAGCACCCCAGCACTTCGGGTGAATCACTGGACCTCATCTCTCAACACCTTCTCGTCTGTCTAACAGGATGGCGATGGGACGATGACAGCGTGCTTGCTGCGGGCTGGGTGTGCTCAGACTCCCCGTGGACCAGCCCGCTCTGTCCTCTCACCGATGCTAATGGACAAATCACTTCCCCACCTTGTACAGAAAAGGGAACAGAAGCCCAGAGAGTTGGGGTTAATTACCCAATGTCACACGGCTAGGAGATCCATGACCAAGCTCTTCATGCTCTTGCCTTTTTCACGATGTGTTCCTTCTGGCTGGGCTCAAAGGGGTCGTGAGAACTCACAAGGCAATGTTGTGACAAGCTGTGAAACCCTCAAGTGAACCTAAACATGGTGTCCCAGCAGCTTGTTCGTCATCGCCAGACCCTGGGGGCCACCAAGGTGTCCTTCCATAGGTGATGGATAAACTGTGGTCCATCCAGACAATGGACTGTTATTCAGCGCTAAAAAGAAAAGAGCTACCAAGCCCTGAAAAGATATGGAAGAGGCATATCACTAAGTGAAATAAGGCGATCTGAAAGGCTCCATCCTGTGCAACTCCAACTCTATGACATCCTGGAAAAGACAGAAATACGGAGATAGTAAAATATCAGTGGTTTCCAGGGACTCAAGGGAGGGGGGCGGTGAATAGGCGAAGCAGAGGACGTTTAGGGCAGTGAGACCATTCTGTCCAAACCCATAGAATGTCCACCACCAAGAGCGACCCCTACTGTAAACTCTGGACTTGGGGTGTCCACTTTGGTGTCCTTAGTCAGGTCAGGCTGCTATGACAAAATACTGTATACCGGGCAACTTAAACAAACATTTCTTTCTCACAGTTCTGGAGGCTGGCAAGTCCAAGGTCAAGGGTGGTAGCAGATTTTGTGTCTGGTGAGAACCCATGTCCTGGTTCATGGATGCCTGTCTCCTTTTTATGTCCTCCCACGGTGGAAGGGGCAGGGTGAGGGAGCTCTCTGGAGTCCCCTTTATAAGGGCAAGAATCGCACGGTGGAGGCTCTGCCCTCATGACCTGTCACCTCCCAAAGACTCCACCTACTAAAGCCACCACATTGGGCATTAGGCTTCAGCATATGAAGGGGGTGGGGGACACCAACATTCAGTCCATGGTGATAATGATGTGTCAGAGGTGATGGTGACAAAGGTACTGCTGTGGTGTGGGATGCTGATCCTGGGGGAAGCCGTGCCAGGTAGGCGGGGCTAGTGGCGGTGTATGGGAACTCTGTGTACCTTTGGCTCAATTGTGCTGTGAACCTAAAATGGCTCTATTAAAACTCTTTTAAAAAAAACTCTTAAGTGACCCAAGGGCAAATTTACATATAGGATTGAGTTTGAAGCATTTGGGTCAAAGTCCTAGAACATCTTTTTGCGGGAGAGCCAACTCATTTCTTCTTAAGGGGTCTCTCTTTCATAATTACTTATTCTTTTAAGTGCCTGGGCTTTGGGAGCACTTCTAATTTGGCAAGAGGGAATGAAAGGGCCCAAGGGAATGTCCTGGGGAGTGCCCTCTGCTTTCTGACGTTTGCCAGGGAGGGAGTTTGTCCCCGGTGGGTGGCTTGTTACTCTCTGGGGGACGCACCAGCCTGTCTGCCTGAGGGACTTGGGTTGGTGGTTAGCACCCTGGGCGCTGCTCTGAGCACAGCTGGCTAACAGTGAGTCCCGCACACATTTCTGCTGCTGCGGCCCGGTCCGTTTGCATAAAATATTCTCCACAGATCCACCGTGTTTTCCCAAAAGTGGGAAAGGACACCAACCTCCCTGAGAGATTTTATTTGATAACCTTCTATTGCCCAAAGCAAAGCTTTGCACTCCTTTTTGCCAGCCTGTAAGAGACATGGCCCCCCTCTTGTGGAATGAAGGCCTGTTAATGTCTTTATGTATTAACGCCATGAATACCACCCAGGAATGTAGAGCTGAGACCAGGAGCCATGAGATTTATAATTAAGCACAGGCGCTGCCCTTTCCCAGTCGGGCCGCTCTGGGCAAGGCTCGCTAATATCCCGAGCCTCTGTTTCCTCCCCTGTAGAATGCCAGTCACATCTGCTGCTCACGGCTGTTGTGAGGACTATATTTAGGTATGATTCCTAAGGCCCTTAGCCTGGTGCCTGGCACAGTTGTAGCAGTATTTCTTACAGCACTGATAATGTTCTATCTGATAAAGACAAAGGGTATAGCATTAGTTCTGAAGGGAGCTTTGATAAGTCGCTGCAACACCCAGAACCTTGTTTCCCCACCTTTGTCTTGAAGCTGGTACTAAAATGCTGCGTCTGTTTCACAAGTTTGTTGCGGGGACCTTATCAAGTATTGGATATGTAATTTTGAACAGTAGCTGCCACTTCTTGCATGCTTACGATGCACGAGGTACACTGCTAAGGGTGTGCATTACTCATTAGGAGGTGGTTACTGGTGACTTGGGTTTGCCACGGCCTCATTTTGGGAGGAGGGGTCATCTTCCTAAAGCGTGAATGCACCTCCTTCTCTCTCCCGCTGGAGTGGAGCCCAGAGAGGACTCCAGCTGGGCTGGGCGGTTCAGCCCCATCTCCCGAGCCACCTCCCGGCCCTTAGATTGACACACCCTACACCCTACGCGTCAAAGGAATGATACAAGCCAACAAAGGCAGGCTGGCACGTTCTTCCAGTCCCTAGGAGATACAGAGGCCACGGTAAAATCAAGAGGTGTTTCTCAACTCACCCAGCACCCGGGCCGGTCACCATCCCACCTGCAGTGAACCCCACTCCAGCAACCGGACATTTTATTTTACTTTTTTTATTTAAAAGATTTTATTTATTTATTTGAGAGAGGGCAGGAGGGAGAGGGACACTCTGAAGCAGACTCCATGCTGAGTGCAGAGCCCGACGCGGGGCTCCATCCGACGACCATCAGCTCAAGACCTGAACTGAAAACAAGAGTCCGAGGCTGAACGAACTGAGCCACCCAGGCGCCCCTACAACCTGACATTTTAAAGTGTCCACAGCTGAGGCAGACGCACACCCAGGTGTGAGCACTTGGGTGTCTTTCTCAGAGAAGAGGAATCACATCCTGGAGGAGCAATCAAGGCTGGCTTCCAGGCGGAGGGGGCCTCTGGGGAAACAGAAAAGGAGATGGGGTATGTTGGAATTCGCGGTGGGCTCAGAAAGGCCAGGGGCTTCTTCGCCTCGGCAGCCCCAGCGCCGCACAAACGCCCCTGGGAACAGGCGCTCAACACAGTTGCTCCGCGAACAAATGACAGCCCAGGAACCACGCCGGCCTCCCCCGCACGTCCCTCCACCCTGCCCGCGGAGACGCACGCGCATGCCCGCCCCGGGCTGTTCCCTCCAGGCCTCTACGGCGACGCCACCGCCCCCTCGCTGTCAGCGCGCAGGCGCGGGGAGAGCGCGCGAGCGGGTGACGTCACTCCGCGCCGGATTCGGCCTCTGGAGGCGTCGCCTACTGACTGCGTCGTCATGGAGCTGAAGACGGGTGAGGACCCGCGGGAGAGGCGGGTGGGGACCCACCTGAGGACTAGGCGGGTGAGGGGCCGCGAGGGACCCACCCGAGGGGTAGGCGGGGGGCGGGCGCGTGAGGGGCGGCCGGGATCCGACGGGCGGGACCACCGGACAGGCGGGAGGGGACGCGGAGGGCACTGAGCGGGGCTCGGGGGTCCAACCGGCGCCGGTCTCGGACCCTGATGCCCGACCCTGTCGGTGGAGTGAAGATAATGGGGAGAAGAGAGAGAGGACTACTTGCCGTGCGCATGGTGGTGCCCGTGGCCCCGTGCCGATCGGTCGTAACTACCACCTGTGAGATCCGCGCTTACGCACGGTGCAGCGAGGAGACCAAGGCTCACAGCTGGTGGCAGGGCGGGACTGGAAACCAGCTTAACTTAGCCGCCGGGCCGCTTAATCACTGTCCTCTGAAATGCTTTCCAAGGCCTCGCTGTGCCAGGCCCTGCCCAGGCGCTGGGAACACTTGCTTCATTGCCCCTGGGCTTTAGGAGGTCACCCTCTGGGGAGAAGAGCTTTGGTGATTGTTGCGGGATTGCTTGGCAAAGATAGTCCCCAGTACTGAAGCCCACGGTGAGCCAGAGCCTGTTAAAGCCAGGTTCCACAACTGGGAATAAATAAACTGCCCTTACCAAGTGTGCAGCATGTAAACAGCTCGGTACAGAGATTCTGCTAATTCAGATGCCTGCCAAATGCCAGGACTGAACTCAGAGCTAGAGGTGGAAGGATGAGTGAGACCCTAGTTGACCTGACAGAGCCACAACCTGTTGAGGGAAGTAAATAGGCAATTACACAACAGGGCTCAGGCATTTCACACAAATATATGTCGCCTTTTATTATCCTAATCATTTCCCATGTTTTTGTAACTCTTTCAAGGGCAAGGACCTGCCCTTTCACTCTCGCTGCTCCTCCCAATCACCATTTTTGCATTCTAAATGGGAGTCACTCAGATGTTTGTGATTAATTGATTCTCCAGAGCAAGGGTCACAATTTCTTATGTTTCTTGTGTCCCACACAGTATATTGCAAGGTGTTGGGAATATTGTAGCACGTATGGGTTGTTAGTGAAAGTGATAAATATATTAACCTTGTAGTTGCATCAACATAATTGTGTTTGGAAAAAACAGGGTGCTCTGGGTTCCTAAAGGAGGGACAGCTGCCTGTAACTGAGCACTCTGAATACCTCCAGGGGGATGTGGTGTGTCAGGCAGACCTGAAGGGAGAGCAGGTACCAAGGTGTGAAGAGCACAAAGAGATGGGCAGGTGTGTGGGAGCAAGGACCAGTTATGCTTGAGCCACATTTTGAATCCACAGCGAGGAGTGATGGAGGTGAGGCTGAAGTGGGCAGCAGGGCATTGTAGGCTAGAGCTCCCTGTGACCCTGTGACAGAGGGATTCCCCAGGCATTGGAGCAGAAAGGGGGGGGGTTCCTGGAGGCGGTGCTGAAGCCGAGCCTTGAAGAGTGAGGGTTTATCGAAGGGACAGAGAGCTGAGCAGATTTGGCAGCGGACACCTTCAGTGCACAGCTCCCAGGAGGAAAGAACAAGCCAAGTGCTGGAAACTGCCTGTGTCAGCCTACTCAGGCTGCGTCTTACAGATGTGTGTTCCCGAAGCACACCCACATCTGCAGTTTTGATATCTGGAATGGCTTTAAAGCACAGCTAGGGGCAGGAGGCCCAAGAAGCGTTTGTAGTGGGCTCCAAGAGGCTCTGGGACTGGGCTGCATGCTATGCTGAGGAAATCTAGGCCTAGCCAGAGGGCATAGGCAGTGGAAGCCTTCAGCTCTTGGCCCTTATGCCTTAGACTACACGTGGAGGGTTAACAAATTGAGGTAGAATGGGCGGGCGGCAAAGTGTACCTTGGTGACAAGATTGGAAACCACCTGTTGTCCTTCAGAAGGGGACTTCCTGAGTAAATTTTGGCCTGTCCCTACAATGGAATATCGTGCAACCTCACAAAAGAACGGAGGTACTCTTGTATACCACGTGGCCTGATCTGCAAGATATTTGGCAAGAGTACCAATGTGCAGGGCATTGTGTGCTGTGTAGTGTGCCACATTAGGGAAAGGAGATGACAGGGAGTGTCTTCTGTGTGGGCCAGAGGTACCTGGGGGAAAATTCATGAGGAAAAAAGGGTGCACTGATTGCCCTGGGGGAAGAGAGGCTTGTCAATATAGTTCCCTCTGCATGTTTTCGAAGTCCATTTATGAAAAATAAAATTTTAGAATATAATTGATTCACATGATTCAAAGCCACCAATTCAGAAATGGCTGGAGAGAAGCCAGCTGCCAGCCCAACCGCACCAGCCATCCAGGTGATTCCCAGCAGTCTCTGGCCCTGGGCTGCTCCGGTGGGTCGCTTTTCAATATCCTGCACTCACTGAAGGGAGACTGAGGACCTGTGGGGTTGTATCTGCCCCTCCTTCCTACTCAGGTGATGAGAGGTGCCCCAGCCACACAGAGTACATGCAGAACCTCACATCTCGCCGTAGTGCACATTGGGTTCTCTGAAGAGGTTGTCTTTCACCGCCAGCTTCGGAGATGCACATTCCCTAAGCCCTGTGCGTGTGTGTCCTACGGGGACTTCCAGATGGTGCAGGGTAGGTAGCACTCCTCTTCACCAGCGGTTAGGGCACATTGGTGTTGAGAATTTACCAGTCAATGAGATGACCTCATGAGGAGTTCCTTGCCTCATGATTCTCAGTGCTGGCCGCATGACAAATTGTTATGAAAACAGCTCAAGTAGGTAAAGTGATTTGAAACAGACTTCTGTACAAGTACGAGGATATCCTTTAGAACCAGCAGAAATGAAAATTCAGTGAATATTTTAAAAACGTGTCTTTGTGAAGGTGCTGGTTTTATGTTTTTCCACCTAACTGGAAACTGCTTTTTATAGTTCTCCACTCCCAAGAGGAACACATGATTAATGCAAATTTTATTAAAACTGCTCCAATCAAATTAAAGAATATTTGTTGACAAAAGATGCACTTCCGAAGTTGGGTATAGAATAAGAAATTGCTATACTAATAAAGGGGATTATAATGGGTAATCCAAAATAATAGGTGGTTTACAAAGTGCTTAGGTTTAAGGCAGGCTTTCTGGGTTTACAGCCTGCAAGCACTAATCATAACTATGTCAAAACTAATTAGACCAAGGATTGCAGTGCGTTGACTGATCAGAGCGTGCGTTTCCAAGCAAGGACCCGCGGAAAGCTTGGGTACCTGGCTCGCTTTGCTTTTTGTTCTGCTGCTCCTATAGCTCAGTAGAGCTGGGTTAAACACCTGGGTTGTCTTGAATTTACTCTGTTTTTGGACTTTAGCAGTTGTTGTGAGTTTATCACTAACCCTGATTTTTCGCCATAGAGCTGAGATGCCCTGGATTGGTCTGGCATGACGGAGTGCTGAGGGTGCAGCTTGAGCAGGCACCCAGCAGCGCCTGGCCTGCACATGTGGCAGGACTCCTTTCTGCCACGTTAACTAGTCCCACTCTTTGTTGCCATAGGTGTTTCCAAACAGGACATTCGTGAACAGATTTGGGACTACATGGAATCACAAAATTTAGCTGATTTTCCCCGGCCTGTTCATCACAGGATTCCCAACTTCAAGGTACTGAAGCATTCCTGGAGCATTCAAAAGGAAAACAGGCTATTCCTAAATGAGAGAGTTAGTAATGCAGTTAACTGTCCTGCTTCATGGTGGATCCGAGCTGGGTGAACAGTGAGTAGTAGTGCAAAATCCACACCACTGGCCCGCATGTCCTTTGTATTTTGAGATGTCCCTCATTTGTGTTCCTTAACCTTCATTACAGCCTCTTGCCTTTCTGTGCAGGGTTGGTGGGTTGGTCATGTTTTGCCACTTGACATGGAGTAAGATATTTGTCCTGGCTGGAAGCATGTTATTGTCGTGGTTCCTTTTCTCAAAATTGGCTCCCTTAAGAACAGCAAGGAGTGATGCCCTCTGAGAGGAGGCCCGGGCCAGCATCTTTGGACAGAGGAAGGCCTTGCCGGTCCCTGATGGATGACTCCAGGCCTCAGTTTCCCCACTGTTCAGAATAGAAGATAATCAAAGATGTCTGTTTATGACACTGTTCATAGGAAACAAGTTTGCTTGAACGAGCAAACATACACAGCTCATAATTTCGGCATGCATGTTTTCCACAAGGAAAACAAAAGTGCTTTTTGAAATTACGCTGGTTGCTCTATCCAGCCCAAAGGGTGTGTGGCTTATTTACTTGCCATCACCCCCCATTTTGGCTGGACTTTATCTTCCCATTCATGGCTTCTTGGAAACAAGCTCCCACCCTTCTCTGGTCCTCAGCTGAGCTGAGTCTGAGGCCATCCTGGACCTTTGAAAAACTGTTATTTTTGTATGTTTTTGTTGCTACTTTGTTTTGCTTTAGTGCTTGTTATCCCAGGGAGAGAAATATACATGAAGTACAGGAAAAAGAGAAAGATGCACAGAATCAGTAAAAAATGTTTAAAAAGGAACCAACTTGGAGAGGGATGGGAATTCCGGGGTAGTGGTAATATACTCCTGTTTTAGGCAGTTATTACACAGGTATGTTCGTTTTGTGAAAATTCATCGAACTATACACTTTGTACACCTTTTTGGAATATATGTTTTATTTTGGTTAAAATTAAATCAGGGCTCGCTTTCTCAGCCCCTTTCTACCCTGACTGCTTTCCCAGACTTCTTTGGGCAACTCCTAGATCTTGTCTCAGACCTAGTGCACCCCACCTGTCTGAATGAGATGCTAGACCAATCTGCTCCTGCATGCAGTAGACCCAGGATCATGCTGTCCTGTCAGTAATGTGCAATTGCATTTGAAAACAGGGTGCTTCCCATGCTGCTGAGCATTTCCCACGTTTGCAGGCGTTCAAAATGGCCAGAACCATTAAAGTCAACCCTGATGCTCCCCAGACAAATGCTCGCTTCTTCGTCCTCGACGTAAGTGCAACTCTGTCTGTTTGCCTAACTAGGGCTCTTATCTGGCTTGCCAAAACATCAGAGACCTAGAAGTTTTTGCCAGAATGCAGGAAGTTAAAGTGGACCCCGATAAACCGCTGGAAGGTGTTCGGCTGCTGGCGCTGCAGGTAATCCCATTTTCCTGAGCCAGAGCCCGGGCCACTGATAAAATGCATTCTCCAGGTGGCTGGCAAATGTGTGCAATTCATATATTTAGAAGGATGGTGCTTCTGACTCCCTCCCACACAGAATATACCCTCGGAGTTGTTTTTTCCAGGAAGAGTCCAGAAGTCTTTAATTTGTCAGAAGTCACGAATCTTCCTGAATTCAAAGATAAAGGACATTCACAACGATGACCTTGAGGCACTCTTTAATCTGATGTGCTTCATCAGAAGGGAAAGGTTATGTTTATTTCCTTCTGCTACTTTTATATTATAATTCTTTGATACTTGATAACCCATGAGTAAGAAATCTGATGGAGTCCCCAAAATCTATAAATCAGAACAGTGTTTCTTAACTTACATACTTAGGCCCCTGTTCAAGGAAGAAAAAAAAGCTCCCTGAGGGTTGCTTTAAATTCACTAACTAAATTTAATTAGTATAAAGAGAAAACTTGGTATAAATTTAAATGTTTATAGCTCTTATGCAGCTGTAAAACCACAGTAAACCTGTAAGTTAAATACAAACAAAACTGTACAAGCAGGAACATCCATATATCAGCACTGATTTAACCTAACAGCTGCTGCTGCTTTGTTGAGACAACTTACTGTTGATGATATGAATCCAGATCTTCAGAGTTCCTCCTTAGGCGACCAACCACTCCTTGTGTGGCCGCTCAGCTCTCCCACAGCTCCTGGGAGGCTTTGGTCACGCAGTGCACCTTGCAGCCTGTGTGGAGAAGGGAATGCCAGAAAGTGATTTTATAGGGAACGAGGAGGGTGTAGGGATCCTCCTCTGGTTCTTTCAAGGATTGCGTGTAGGGGATTTTGTTTGCCGATTGTTTGCTGATTGCTGTTCAGCCCCAATAGGAGCCTCCCAGTCGGGCCCTTCTGGAAGCATTCTTTCTTGCCAGCCATATTTTCCCAGTCAGTAATTCACTTTAGTGAACTAGAGGAAATAATAGCAGAGAAGAGCCCGAAGTGAGTGGTTGCCTTGTGTGAGGACAAAGCTCTGTCAAAACACTGCACTATATTACCTCATTTAATTCAGCCAACAACCCTGTAGGAGTGATCTCTGTTGCCATATGACATGGAATAAGCTAGACACGGAGAGGTTAAATGACTTGCCCAAGTCCCCCATTTGGTAATGGTGGAGCTGGGATTCCGACCCATACTGTGACTCCAGAGCCAGTTCTCTGCATGTATGAGGTTCTTACCTGTCAGCCCATCAGAGCACAAATCAAAGCCTTGAGTGTGTTGGAGATTAGTCAAGACATCCTGTAGGAGGAGTGCAGCCAGGTAGCAGGATGGAATAGGGTCCTCACTGTCTGTTTATTCAGGGGAAAGAAAGCCAAGCTTTGAGAATCTGTTGTATTCCAGGCTTTCTGCTGGGCACAGGGATATAGTGGTGAAAAAGACATAAAGACGTGTGTGGTCCTTGGGCTGTAGGGCTACAGAATCCTCTTTGTTTCTGGAAATGGAAACTTTAGTGGTTTAAGAATCACTTGGGAAGCAGGTAAACCTGCATGCTCCACAGCGCACCTAAGTATAGGCAGGGATCCCGATGCACATGGCCACGGTCCATGCCTGGGGACACAGTGGCCTGTGCTTAGGGATACACAGTTTCCCAGGCTCAACCCCAGACCTTCAGTAGGTTTCTAGAGTCTGGTTTTTTTTTTTAAAGATTTTATTGGGGGGTTTTGTTTTTTTGCTTTTTTTGGGGGGAGCACACACAAGTTGTGAGTGGGGGGCAGGAGGAAGAGGGAGAAGCAGATTCCCTGCTGAGCAGGAATCCTGATGCAGGGCTTGATCCCGGCATCATGACCTGAGCCTAAGGCAGACGTTTAATCAACTGAGCCACCCAGGCGCCCCTAGAGTCTTTTTAATAAACATCCCTGATGGTTCCTTTAAGAACCACTGGCCAGGCCAGCATTTGCCAACCCCGGCTGCATGTTAGCACCACCCAGGGAACTTTGAAAATTATCTCTTGCTGGTGTCAGGTTCTGAATCAGATGCTCTGAGTGGGTCTGCATGCCCACTGCCCAGGTGATCTAAAGTACAAGCAGCTTCCAGAAAAGGGGGAGTAACCATCATAATGTGTAGTACACCAGAATCTTCAGACTGTGAATGAACCCAAACCTCTTTCCCACTCCAAAGGAAAAGAGCACATGGTCATGACTTGTGTTGAAATATTTCTCTCGTGGCTTTAAGTAAGCCAACCTGTGATTTTACAGGTCTTATATTGGTCTCAGGCTGTCATCTCCTGCACAAAAACTAAAATATACTCTTTTAACACCGAAAATTTTAAAATTTTACAATTGCCTCATGGCCTGCCCCGGCATAGTTTGCAGAGATGCCTGTAGCAGTGGTTCTGGAACTTTCCTGGGCATCAGAATCACCTGGCAGGCTTGTGAAAGCAGATTGCTGTGCCTGCCCCCAAGCTTCTGGTCATTTCTCACAGGTGTCCAGGGGCTGCACCTGCTGGCCAGGGGCGTGCACTTTGCAAATCCGTGCTCTGGGACTCACAACAAGGTGTTTGGGAACTAAATAGAGGAAAAAGGGCCTGTGGACTCAGGTCAATACAAAATAGCAATCATAATGAGTATTAATCTCTGAGACTGGAACTTATTGAATAGCAAACTGGTTATGAAGGCTTGAGATGATGCAATGCAGGTTTCACACAAAAGCATTGTGGGCACCTGGGTGGCTCAGTCAGTTTAGCTTCTGCTTTCGGCTCAGGTCATGATCCCGGGGTCCTGGGATCGAGCCCCACATCGGGCTCCTTGCCCAGTGGGCAGTCTTCTCCTCCCTCTCCCTCAGTCCCTCTCCCTCAGTCCCTCCCCCCGTTCCTGCTCTCCCTCGAATAAATAAAAAAAAAAATCTTAAAAAAAGGAAGCGTTGTAACTGTAGTATGTGATGCTGGGAGGGGAGGACACAGGAAGGTTCTGGTTGGAATTCTAATGAGAACAGACCTTCATTTGGATTTACATTGTCATTTTGTATCTGTAGTGATTTTGAGTGGCAAGTAGAATAGAATTCAGGAGTTTGACAACTCACTGCCTCTTCATCCTAAGTGGGGTGAAGTAGTGGCCCTGAGTAAGATTGACCACCGTGCGTTGTGTAATTGGGTTTGCAAAGAAGTCATTTCCTTGGCACACACCAAAAGATGCCAATAATAGTCACTTGCTTCTGCCCCTGAAATGCTAATATACACGAGAAGTTTTCTATGTTTAATTTTGTAACTTATTGATTGTGTTTTTTTAAAAGAGCAAAAAAACATTGTTGGTCCCAACACCACGACTGAGAACGGGGTTATTTAATAAGATCACACCACCTCCCGGGGCAACTAAAGACATCTTGAGGAAATGTGCTACCTCTCAGGTAAGTGCAGGAGGCCGCATCACCCACAAGGAGAGCGCTGTTCTCAGCCGATACTTCTGGTGAGTTAGAATGCGTAAAATACACCACAAAATTGAAACTCATTTTTCACAAAGCCAAATGAGTGGAGATGGCAAAGTATTCAGCAGTCCTATTAGTAAAGGAGCCAAGTGGAAAAACCATGGATGCATGTATTCCATTTGAGTCACCTGGTTTCTATTTTGCACCAACTTGGCAGATTGTAAATTCCCTATTCAAAATGAAGAAAAAATGAGTTATCGGGTGGTCTGGCACCTTCTGGTGTTAATGTGTGCCATAGTCTGGTGGCCCATAGCATTTTTTAAGTGCCACCAGAGCAACTGGGAACTCCGGAATTTCCAAAATACTTGGATTGGAAATTGCCTCACCAGTTCTGAATGATGGTTTTAGTAATTCAGTGATGTGATTTTCTTGAGTGTTTACAATGTAGTAAAACTTAAGTTTATAAATACTACATCATGGTGCCCTGTGGTGGCATTTGTCTTGTATTTTGCAGATAAAGAAATAGAATTTGGTGATTTTTTTTCAGAGTCCTAGAATAGATCGTAGGTCATTTGATTCCTAATCTATTGGGAATAAAAAATAGGGCATCAAGATAGGGCATTAATCTTTTTAAAAAAGATTTTCCACTTAAGTCTGATACTGAAAAATTGAATTTTTATTGTTACTTATTGATAATCTTCTTCCAAAAATAGAATTTGGTATAGCTTTCAAAAGTACGTGTAATAAAGTAAAACAAAATATATGTAGAAGAAACTGCAAAGGGAAAATTAGAAAAATAAGAGACATTCATGGTTCTGGTCGGTGTTCAAAGAGGCAAACTGTGTGACTGTCTGCAGTTGGCAGACGCGGGCCGCAGACAGGAGCTCACATTTCCCAGAGCCACGGGGAGTGTGATCAGCGGTTCCGGAGTCGTGGGTTTGGGACGGTACCAGCAGTTCCCTTTCTGGGGTTGAGGTCCAGGTCAAATGTATCTGAGGGTCCATCACAGGGGCCTGTGGTGGTTGTAGTGGTCTGTGTCGCCCTTAACGGCATCCCCTCCCCTCTGAAAGGTGACTGCCACGTTGTGTGTTGGCAAAAGTTCCCTGTGATGCGCTGGCACTGGCTGGTCCCTTACACTGGTGCCCCTGAAAGTGTGGCTGGGCCCAGGGTAGAGCCAGACCAGCTCTCGTGACTGAACTTCACTAGGGATTGAGCAGCGGAGTTCGGGCTCTGTCAGCACACGAGACACTGGAACCTGAAAAGGACGTTTCCGTTTTCTTGATGGCACAGGGGAGAGAGGCTTTTAGGGCCTCTGTGTGCAGATGCCGGTCATGGTGCAGTCATTATTTACTCTGCCAGAGCTTAGTGGCAGAGATACTGCCCCCGTGTGGGTCAACTCTAGGAGACTCAGATGTGGCTTTGCTTTTTGGCAGAGAAGTTTCTGAATTTGTCCCTTAACACCTCTGCCACCAGTACGTCCCAGCCACCTGTGTGATCTCGGTGTCTTTTTATTCTCTAACTCAGGAGTCTTCCAGTAACCACCTCTGTGGGCACACAGAAATGTTTGTCACCTGAGGTTTTGTTGAATCAATCAGGACCTTGGAGAATCAGGGAGACTCCTGGTTGCTCACACACTGTCTGGCCAACAGAGCAGGTGAAGCTGACCGAGGGAGGGAGGAGGAAGTCTGATGGATCGAGTTTCAACACAGGTGTCTGCTCACCAAGGCTGCCAGGCACCAAGCCCATTAAAACAGGGCTGAGGATGTGGGCCGTGGGTGTGAGATGCCAGCTGCCATGGCCATCGTGAGATTAAGCAAAACAGGCCTTCCCACCATGGGGCACAGTGGGCCTGTGACTGTGGTCTGACTGCTGAGAGCCCCCAAACCAACCCCCTGTACTGATGCCATAAGTGACTTGTCATGTACTTGTAGACAAGGCATGACACATGCTGTGACCCTCCAGTGCCGGGCACTGGTCTGTACAGTGTCCTAATTTGGCTCTTAGATTGACCTGTAGCCCTTGTTATCTGAGACTCATGACCATATCAGCCTCCATACTCTGTAAATACAAGCCTCAGTTAGTGTAAACGTGTGTACTTTCAGTGCGTTTTGGTTGAACAAGTAATTTTTCAGAAGTGAAGATGCTACACGTGAAGGTAACAGCCCCAGTGTTTTATACATTATCTGTCCCACACTTTTCCTGACCACGTCTTAATGTGCTAAATGCACTACCTCCATGATCTTCCCTTCCAGCACCAGTCCGGCAAGGCAGTGGGTGGCACCTCTGTCTTAGAGGTGAAGAAACTGAAGGTCAGCTTTCCTCCTCTTGAGATCACGGGGCTAAGAGGGATCTGGACCCGGTTCTGTGTGACTCCTGAGCCTGTGGTTTAACCACTGTGCTCTTCTGCCTCGTGGGAAGAAATGATTTGCTCAGTATTGTGAACTTAACATCTTAGTCATTTGTGCTATCAGTTTCAAGGGGCATCTTCCCTGGGGAAGAAACTGTGGGAAATTATCCTAAGATGGTTTCTGAGCCATGGTTTTCCTAAAATGCCATTTCCGCAATGCTGCGTGTTTGTTGTAGGGCATGGGTTTGCCTCATGCAGGAGGTTGATTCAGACCCTGAGTGCTGCTCGCCTGGGAACTGTGAGGTGCGGCCGCCGCTCGCTGCCCAAGAAGCATTCAGGCCCACGTCTGTGTTCACAGGGCGTGAGGAACTACAGCACTCCTGTGGGCTTGGATTCCAGGGTTCTTGTGGACTTAGTTGTGGTGGGGTCCGTTGCTGTTTCTGAAAAAGGTAAGATTAAAATCAGAAATTCCTGGATGTGACCTGCAGGTTGACGTTCTTCTGTCTGTTCATCTTTTAAACAGTGAAGGTAAGTAATCTCAGTTTTCCGGACACACGTCTGTCCTCTGAAACCACTCTATCTCTCATTCATTTTGAAGAATGAACACAGTCCCTCACACTCAATACCTTCATAGTATTTTCATTTTTCTTAGGAAAAATAAAGTGAGATCATCTCTCTTCAGGTGGTGAAAGATATTTCCTCTATTCTTAAACTACCTGGAACTGGAGCTGGATTTATTTGTAGTATGTCAGTAAATAGTTGGTTTTGGAGAATCTCCAGGGAATGGAAAAACGTTAGGTTCTAAAGCTTGTTTCTGGTAGGGAGCAGCAGCCTTTGGGCAACACAGGGTGTCCTGAGCCTGCCTGGGGAGGCCTGGTGCTGTGCCATTCAGGCAGGTGAGGGGGGAGGGTGTCCCACGCTGCTCTCTGCCCTCTGCCCAGCCGCCTGCAGGACTTGGGCCCCTGTGGTTCCCCTGGGACCTCTTCCCCCTCCGCTGCTCTATTCCAGGCCTGGCTCGACTCTTCGGAGATGATCTGGTTATACTGCTGCTTATACTGCCACAGGCTTGGTGGGTTCCCCGAGAGGCCAGCCTGTCACAGACTTGCACCTGCGCAGTGTGGTTTGGGCCCCCTGCTAGGAAAGCATTCTCTCTCCTCCTTCCCCCCCAAGAGGAAAAAGACTGTTCTAAGATGCCTATCCTTAAAACTGTCCCTTTGGAAATTAACTAGCCAAAGCCAAGATCTTCCTTCAAGAGAGGTTTCTGGTTTCCAACAAATGGTTGGTGAGAGATGCTCTTAAGTCATTCATTCCAAATCCCGAGCGTTGTGTTTTTAAATGTTGGCCTTTCATATCTTCAGCTGGAGTATACGGTGTTTGCCAGCTCTTTGCACTAGTATGGGAGACGCTGGAGTGCTTCGTTCTTTGCTTTCTCTGTATTCCCAGTTACAGCGCTTTATCTGTGTTATCAGGGAGGGGTTCCCATGAGCACTTGTTTCCTGGGTGCCTGCTGTGCTCCAGGTGTCCGGCCAGCCCTGGGTGGTCACTGCCTTGGGCCCCCAGTGAGCTGGAAGAGCAGACGGCAGCTGTGCTCTGGTGCGATGTGCTCGCTGCTCCACACACGTCAGAACCGACGGTGGTGGGGTCCCAAGAGCCGCCCTCGGGCCCTGAGCAGGGCAGCGTCTCAGAAGTGACCTCAGGCTTAGGTGTTTTGGAGAGAGGTGGAGCAGGAGAGGACTTTCGGACAGAAGTGGCAATGTGTTCACATAGGATGGTCCTTCAGTAGGTTGGGGTTGGCTTTCCAGAGACCAGGAGGCCAGAGGACGGGATTGGGGTTATACTCTTTTGGCAGTGGGAAGTTAACAAAGAGGTCTTCTTTTAAAAGATCAGGAGTTTTCTTTCTTAGCTGAGGGTATATGGAGAAGAAAACAGTATTCTATAAATGTCATCATTCAGATAACCCCCAGTCAACACAACAGAAGTCATCATGCACACGTGTAGAAAATTGGAATAGCACAGAAAACACCACCTGTGCTCTTCCCAGATGCCCACCGTTGGCAGTTCCTTGTGTTGACACACAGAGATGGCCCGTGAGTCCACCCATGCCTTGCATTCTCTGTGCAGGTTATGTTTGTCCTGGTTCTGTTTTCCCAGGAGGGGCAGCAGCGCATACACCACTTTGTGCCCTGCTAGATGATGTCTGGCCAGGGTCTTTGCCCATCCTTGCAGACTGATGGGCACTTAAGATGTCACCGGGGTTTGGTTTTGGCTTTTCCCTTACAGATCACACTACAGTGAGGTGTAGTCTTGTGGTAGAGTTTCTTTGTGCCTTCGAGGGCCATCCGTGGGATAACTCCAGCAGAGGAATTGTTGAACCAAAGGGTGGACTTGAAATCCTGGTGGCTGTTGCCAAATAACCCACTAGAAAGGTTGCCTACCTCACATCCCCAGTACCGTACACCTCACATCTCTCCCTACTCCCTCGTCAATAACTAGAATCATCAAACTTCCATGTTTACCAATCCAGTAGTGAACAGTGGTGGTTCATGTGCCATCTGATTGGCCTTTAATGGTGAGGGAAGGTGGTCATTGTTCACGTTTGCCGCTCACCTGCCTGCCTCTGTCTGTGGACTGTTCTATCCTTTGCCGTTTCTCCTCTGCACCGTCTTTCTCATGTTTATTTGCTCACATGGTTGGTGGTTGGTAATTGTAAAAGGAGCGTGACAGATGAGAATCTCAGAAAGATGCATGGGCAGTGATGCCCTTGGTGAGGATGCTGATGCTGATGTTAAGCAGAAGTTAGAATTTCTGCAGCGTCACGGCCTTTCTGATGGCGGCATGCATTGGTTCTTGTGGGAGCCAGAGGCATTGTCATGTTTTCCATTTTGCTGCATTCTTATGTGCTCTGTAGCTTCTCATGCAGCTTCAGCTACAACTTCCGCGGGCCCCACCTAGGAGTCCACAGTATGGGACTAGCTCTGCCAGACCCAGCCCTCTTCCAGGGACTGTTGGACTTTTCAGAAGACAAGGCGATGTCATCTTAAATCACATATTCCTGATTTTAATTTTTATTTTCCCTCCAAGAGAAATTGATTAAAAAGATTTTGGTTTTAGTAGGAATTTTTTCTTAGTCTTTTTAAAAACTACTCTTTCATTGCTTTTAAATGTGAGTTCTGCTCACATAAACACAGGTTCCGTTTTCTTTTTGTAACACATCTGAGAGGCTCAGGCTTCACACAGCGTGTGCTGACCCCTGTATGTAGGCAGCCGTCGGCATGCCCCTGAACCCCACTGTTGAGGGCTGCCTGTGGGCTCACTGTGGAAGTTTCTGAGGAGGTGCCAGGGATATTGAGTCCAAGTTTCTGCTTCCGCTGTGACCTAATGAAACATTTTCCTTCCGAGATACTGATGCTCTGCATGTTTCTTAGGCTGGAGAATTGGGAAGGGAGAAGGTTACGCTGATCTGGAATATGCCATGATGGTGTCAATGGGAGCGGTCAGCCAGGGGACGCCCGTGGTCACCATCGTCCATGACTGCCAGGTGCTGCCCATGAACGGGCCAAGCAGAGGCTACTGCCACACCCCCCTGAGAGAGTGGGCGGGGAGGGAAGGAGACAAACTGGTCTCTGCCTTCATTCCACGTCTGCTGTGAGTGGTGATCAGCCAGAGCTGGATCTGTATGGCAGTGAGGCCTTATCCCCATGGGTCTGGTGAGCCCTTTGCTTCTACTGTGCAGTGCTTTGAGCACAGGAGCCGGTTTCTCTGTCAGCCCCCTCACCCACTTCTGTTTGACCAGGTCATCGACATACCTGAAGCGCTGCTTGAAGACCACGACCTAACAGTGGACTACATTCTCACTCCGACGAGAGTCATTGCCACGGGGTGCGAGCGCCCAAAACCAACGGGAATCTTGTGGTCCAAGGTGGGTCCTGTGGCCAGCAATGGCCTGTGGCTCAGAGGCATCTCCTCTTGTGTGGTATTCTTTGGCATGGCAGCTCTCCCTAGGCCCAGCATGTTTGTGCATTAGAATCATCCGTAAGCTTTTGAAAATTCAGCTCCTGCATCACAGTCTCCAGGCATGGGCCCAAGAATCTCCTTTGCAAACCTGTGGGATTCCAAGATCTTCTGCTACAAGACACCAGTTCTAGATGGCAGAAGGAACAGTCCACTCAGAGGGCCAATGCCTTGACACCCTGTTTGCCAGCGGGTTTCATCTCTGAGAGCTGTGTCCCACCATCCTGGCCACAACAACGTACTGTCTCATCAGCTTTTCTGTTCTAAGTCCAGCTTGTCTTGCTGTGACCTGGGTCTCCAAGCAGTACCCACAGCCTTCATTAGCTGATGCCTTTGTGACCTCTATCTGCAGAGTAGTCAGGGGCACACGTTACATTAGTCTGCAGAAGGAGTTCGATCCCAGAGGCCAACCTATAGGTTATGATCCTGTCTGCTGGCAAGCAGCCAGAGTTACTGAGGAAACAGGGAGAGTTGTGCTTCGTTTGGATTGAAGCCGCTGTTCCATGTCTTCCGTTCCTGAAACGTGAATCATCAGAGTTGGATAGCAGCCTTCCCTTGGGCCTGGAAAACCAATAACATCCAACTCCAGGGTTGACACCAAAATGGAACACTGCGGCACAGTGGGCCTTTCCCACAAACACCGCAGCCAGGCGGTTTGGGCCCCCTGGGGCCTGTGCTCCTCCTAGGTTAGCCCCGGTAAAAGCGGAGAGGAGGGGCACGCATGACTCAGAAGCAAGCGGATGGGTCTCTCCGGTGCAGGCCCAGGGCCATGGGGAAGGCGTTGGCATCCTTTTTGAATATTCAGATGTCCCTTGGTGTCTTTCGTAAGAGCTTGGGTTTACCTTGGAAGTCGGGTCCACAGCTTCTCCTTAAGTGAGTGCTGCTACGTGGGTCACAGGAGCGAGGTGGCATTTGCTCACAGCTGAGGGGGTTGGGCCTGGGGAGGCTGCACAAGGGGCTAGTCACAGTGAGGCCTCGGGTCCCCCGGGGGCCAGCACTTCATAGACGAGGGCCGACTGCAGCCCACCTTAGGAAGATTCCAGGTGGTCTCTCCAGGAAGAGAGAGAAAGGTGTGTTGCTTTGGGGAATAGCCAGTTACCTCCCGCTAATTTTAATAAAAATACAAAAATAGCAACAGAGGCTGTTATTGGTCACGTTAGGTGAAGAGACTCCATCTGTGTGAAAGGAAACCACACCAACCAGAGGTGCCAGCAACACGGCTGGCCATACTGTGTGCAGCCCATCAGGGCCAGTGCTGTTCGTTGACATCCCAACCGTCTCGCCCTCTTCCTGGAACATCTCATCGCTAGTGAGGCCTGGGCAAGAATCACAAACTTTGAAAATGCCATTTCTTATCTTGGGGCCCTGTGTTCTTTGTTCTTCCACATCTGGGCCTCCCTTTGCATGAATCATTTGAAAGCAGCAACTTTCTCCAGCCCCTGGGGCTTTTGTTCTGGCCTCGCTACTTAGGCAACCAGAGTGAATTTTCATCGGCATTGGGGAAACCGTCCCTGAATTCCACTGAAGATTTGGGGAGGGGTGGGGGAAGTTCAATGCTAGGGTATGGTATTATGTCACATGGACTCCTTGATACACGTTGGCATATCCTGTGATTTTCTACCCATAGACGACTTATCCTGTAGGTAGTAGAATCCCAGAATTTGCCTCTTGTGTGTTTTGTTGGAACATATGGAATCACAGTTCCTTCTAAACACTGTAGACCTCTCAGATGAAGGTTATGAAATACATACAGAATGTATTAACTCGTTCTTACCGCACAAAGATTGTGCAGCATTTGACTCCCTGGCCTTTGTCCCACCTTGTCAGAGATGTGCGTGGTGTCCCCGCCAGGGGACCAGGCTGCTACGGACTCAGCTGTCCACCTGTAGCTACTTCCTCAGCCCACCTGCTTTTCTCTGCCTGTGCCTTGTGGTTTTAAAGACAGGAGACCAGATGGGGCAGTGGTTTATTTATTTATTTTTAAAGATTTTAATTATTCATTTGACAGAGACAGACAAAGCGGGAGAGGGAACACAAGCAGGGGGAGTGGGAGAGGGAGAAGCAGGCTTCCCGCAGAGCAGGGAGCCCGGTGCGGGGCTCGATCCCAGGACCCTGGGATCATGACCTGAGCCGAAGGCAGACGCTTAACGACTGAGCCACCCAGGCGCCCTGCAACTCTTTTTTATTTTTAAATTTTATTTACTTATTCTTAAGTAATCTCTACACCCGTTGTGGGACCTGAACTCACGACCCTGAGATCAAGAGTCGCACGCTCTTCCCACTGAGTCAGCCAGGCGCCCCAAGCATGTGACTCTTGATCTTGGGGTTTCGTGAGGTCAGGCCCCACTTTGGGTGTAGAGAGCACTTAAAAAAAAAGAAGGAGAAAGAAAAAGACACTGAACATAAAATTGATTATCTTAACCATTTTTTAAGGTTTTATTTAAGAGAGAGAGCATGAACAGAGGGAGGGGCAGAGGGAGAGGGAGAAGCAGGCTGCCCGCCAAGCAAGGATCCCGATGCGGGGCTCGATCCCAGGACCCTGGGACCATGACCTGAGCTGAAGGCAGACGCTCAACGACTGAGCCACCCAGGCGCCCCGGGGCAGTGATTTAGAATGAGCTTAGAAGCTGCAGCAGCACGTCTCAGTCACTCTATCTGTGACCTTGGTGCACCCTCTGCAAGCCCCCCATTTGTTTATCTGTAAAGTGGGGTGCTGTCAGTGCTGACCTCACAGGCAGTACATGCAAAGTGTCTGCTGAACTTGGCCATTGTCACCGTTGTGGCTGTCATAGGTGTGAAACGCAAGTCAGTAATTGTGAGAAATGTACCTGGACGCCGTCGCTTTGGGCAGAATCCTTTTACAGTTATCCTCTGAGTGGTTTAATGAGCCAAGACGGGGCCTTGCCTGTGTCTCTCTGTGGCATTGTTATCACCGTGTGCCCTTTACTGCCTCTCAGTGAAGGAGAAAGAGACATTCCTTCCAGAAGGTGGGTCTGCTGTGTTCATGTGGGGTCCTCCTTTCCCTCAGGGCGGGCTCTCACCTGGTGTGCACCTGATGACCTGTAGAACTCTGGGGGACTTGGCCATGTCTGAGCTACAAGGTGCCGTGACTGCTCCACTTCATCCACAAGCTGCCTCCCCTGAGAACCTAGAACTCCCAGAGCCCCCCCTAATCCAGCAGGTCTGCCCTGGTGAAAGGACGTGCTTTCCCCAGGATCTCTGCCTGGCTTGTGCGTGGTGTAAGAGACCTGGCCACTGAGGCGTGTCCTAAACCTCTGGGCTGCGCTTTCAGCTCAGGTGGTCGTTTAGTCTCTGCGACAGTAATCCAGATGTCCCTGCCTGTGGACATCTGTGTGTAAGGTGATCTGCAGTGGCTCAGGAGCCATTTGCCTGCATCCCTTAGCTCTGGCAGGAGGACATCGATGGTGGCCGAAGTCCCCAGCAGCTAGCTTCCGGCAGCTCCCCCACAGCGCAGTCAGTTCCCAGGGCTGCAAGGTGTCGGGTGAGTCACGACAGAGCAGTGAAGCATCCTCTCGGGAGCCTGACTGCCTGCTGGACCCACGTGAGCGCCTGGAAAGCAGCAGCAGAATGGAGCCCTCTGCTCGGGGAAGGCGAAGGCCCCGGGCTTTCCCGAACACACACAGCCCCACTGGGCTGAGCCTCTGGACAGCCGAGACCCATACCTCTTCTATTACTTTCTGCTGAGCTAGAATGAGGCAGAGGGAAGGTGAAATACTTATTTTAAGAATGCCCTGGAGACATGGTCAGGCAGTGGGGTGTGGCTACAGCCCCAGAGAGACCCAGGGCACCCACGAGACTGCTCCTTGCCACCAGAGCCACAGATCAAAGGTCTGCTTCCTGACCCCCTTGCTCCCCCCAGTAACTGTGGGAAAGGTACCATCACTGATTACAGAGGAGGGCAGTGTGACACCATTGACCAAAATCTGGATGTCTGCCTTTCTGAATTATTTTCTCCTTGCTAAGGAAATGGGATCTTGCCCGGGTTATTCTTTTGTGTATAGACTCAAAGAAACAAGTTTGTAGCATCCACAGCTGTTTGGGAAGGTTGTCCCCAGATGGTCACCACGCCCTGTTGATTTACTTGCTGAGAACGACAGATGCCCTGAGAAAAAGGGTTTGGGAAAAGGACTTCTGTGAGAAACAGCCATTCTGGGACGTTGACACTCGCTTTCCGACCCCATATATCAGCGTTGTCTGGAAGTGACAGCCAAATGTGATCTGACACCTACCCACAACTGGGCCAGCAAGTTAGAAAGGCTGATAACTTCTATAGAGATTCACTATATTTGACCCAATACTTGAACTTCTAGGAATCTGTCCTAGAAAAATACTTACAAATTTAGATAGAGATGCGTGTGTATCCAGTATAATGTAGTGCCTTAAAGTGTTGCAACCCTGTAATTTAAGTGCATACAGCCTTTTTAAAGAGTATTTAATGGCATGAGAAAATGTTTATGGTGTAATAAATATTAAGTGGAAAAAAAACAGTATAAATTTATACATGTTTGGTATATCATTTTGTATTCATTATGCTGAAACGTGCCTAGAGAAAAGATGGAGGGGTGCCTGGGTGGCTCAGTCGGTTAAGCATCGCCTCTTTCTTTGGGCTCAGGTCATGACCGCAGGGTCATGGGATCGACCCTCCCTTTGGGCTCTATGCTGGGGGTGGAGCCTGCTTGGGATTCTCTGTCTCCTTGTCCCTCTACCCCCTCCCCCCCAAAAAAGAAAAAAAAAGGTGGAAGTGTATCCGAATATTAACAGTAGTTATCTCTGCAAGCTGGGAATTCAGATTTCTTTTCATTGTTTTCTAAATTTCCCACAGAAAATATACACTTTTATAGTCAACACTATTCAGTAGAGAAAACAGGACATTTGAAACCATTTTCCAAGGGCAGCCTTCTGCCCAGGTGTGTTTGCCTCCAGTTCCACAAGGAGCCTCCATTCTCTGCACACTCCTAAGTGGTAAAAACGAGAATCCAAGATGCAAGATGGTTAAATGTGTGCCAGTTCTTAGAAGTCATGTGCTTGTGCATGGCAGTGACACTGGACTGTCCAAGTTGCTTGTGCAAAGCATATGTCTGTGTGTGAGGCGGGCCGCATGGGCCACTCGTCCCCATGCGGCAGACACTTGGGTGTGGAACTGAGCCTAGAGCTGCCGGGCATGGACTCGTCCCACACTCAGCTCTGAACTGGCCCAGCAGGAGGGGACCTCGCTGCTCTTGTGGGCCTGTCTGTTATGCTGCCCCCCCCCCCCCACCGAAGAGCATAGGAGAGGCAGGAGCTGTGGTTTGCACATGGAAGCTGGCATCTTGTTGTGGCAAAGGTTTTAAGATGATCATGTATACCAGAAAATAAATAGTTTTTCTTAGTGACTTCCGTGGCCGCTCCCAAAGAGCACCATCTGCTTGATTGTTGGCATGGTCTGAAGCAGTGATGGTGTGTAGTCGTGGCCCTGCTGGTCCTTCAGCACCCATAGTAAAAGCATAATTATAAAGGACTAACGCTTTGGGGGCTTTTGTATTAGTAAGTGACACTTTTGATCAGCTTTGTGCAAAAAGATGTCTTAAATGAGCCCTCTTGTCGTTAAGAGACACTAATTGGAAAGCAAACAAATCCTGCAAGACATGAATGACATCTGGAAGACCGAGCGTTCACCGACTCTCCTGTACCCTCGCATGCTTACTCGATCGAATGATTTCGCCTTGGTCATTGGAAAGTGCCGTATCTAAAAGTATTTTCGGTCAGTGAATGATACACATTAGTCTCAGGCAAGACAACTAGTAATTTCTGTGGAAGTTGTGTTTCACATTAGAAATACTGACGGTGTTCCTGTTTGTTTGTCAGCGGCTGCCCAAACGTGTCCTGGCATTGTAGAATGAGAGGGATTCTAAAGACCATCCCTCCCAATCTCTGTTTCTTCCGGTCAGGTAAAGTGAGAGCCAGGAAAAGCAACGAAGCCAGTGGGTAGTGGAGGCAAGATTAGAACTGGGGTCTCTTCCTGGGTTGGCCACAGGTGCCTTGAGAGTGAGATTTCTGATCTGTATTGGGTTTAGCATGTATTTCTAGGGGATAGGATTTTTCATTTAATCTTTACAGAGAATGTGTATTTATAAATGACATCTGTAAACATCAGAAAAGAGTGGTTGTAGTGCATAAAAGAAAATCAAATTTGCTCTATACTATTTAATGGAATGGTTAGAGAAAAGCAGAAATATTTTTTTATGTTTGATTAACGGGCAAAATCTTTCATTTCACATGGCACTCTTACAGACATAACAAATGTTCCTAATTGCTAGCCAGGAAAAACAGCATAGCCCTGCCGCGAACTGTCCTGAGTGTGAAGCCAGCCCGTCCAGCTGGTGCACAGAGGCCTCTGTGTGGCTGTGGGACTGCCATCAGCCCAAGCCACTCTGCAAGGAGCACAGAAATGGCAAACAGCTGAGAAAGTGTAGACAGGGAGGTTTTTCCATTTAGAACTTGAGGGTGCAGAAGCATGAGATGACATTTAAGCTTTGTCTTTCCTTACCCAAAAAACATCCTGCTCTTGAGATGAGCAATTTTACGTAAAAGTGACGCATTTGGCCATTTCCATTTCTAAAGATCCGTGTGTGTGTGTGTATGTGTGTGTGTGTCAGTCAGTGTGATGGTGCTGTAGACTTGGTTCATAATCTGTACATGGTTAAAACATTCTTGTTATTCAGCTGATTATAGTTTGTCCATGTGCCAGCTCAGGATAAAGTAGCTCCCTGTGATGTGCAGAGAAGGATGTATTTTTGCTTCACATGACATGTTTTAAATGGATTTTAAAGTGTGGAGCCTTGCCCTGTGGACTGGGTTTCCTGAGAACACTTGCTTTGGCCTGAGGACACCCTGTGGTTCTACCAGGCAGAAGCACATGGGAGTTTTAGTACTTGGGGCGGTCACCCAGCCAAGACAGCTCCGAGCGGGTGCTGGAGGAAGTGTGGTGTTTACCAGGGAGTTTGTCCTCACTGCTCTTCTCTACTGGTGTCACAAGGGAATGACATTCAGTTCTTCCATAGAAGAATGTAGTCACATGGTTCCTCTGATTGTAATTACAATTTTAAATCTGATCGTCCTTTCTAAGTACTAGATGTAGTAATTTAAGATATCCTTAAGAGTCTAATTATGACCGTTTTAGGGGCACCTGGGTGGCTTAGTCAGTTAAGCATCCCACTGTTGGTCTCAGTGCAGGTTGTGATCTCAGGGTTGTGAGTTTGAGCCCCGAGTTGGGCTCCACGCTGGGCATGGAGCCTACTTAAAACAAAAATAATCTAATTATGACCAGTTTAAATCTGTTTTGAAATACTCTGGAAGGACACAAGAATCTAAACTCTTTGAGAAGGTGGAATGGGGGTGTGGGAAGGAGTTGGTTGGCTGGACTTAGATCATCTTCAGGATTCTTTGGGACCAGAGCCTCTTAGGGTACTGGCCCGTGAGCTGAGTCATCTTTGGATGAATCAGTTCAGAAGAACTGCAGAGGGTCAAGTGGAAGAAAACTTCCTTTTGATTAGAAGAGTAGCTACATCTCCTACATATCTCCAGGGCATAGACATGGTTTTTGTTTGTTTCTCTGCGTCTCAATAATGGGAAACATTAGAAGGAGCGGGTCTTTCTTTAAGAAGTCTATGGCAGCCAAGCATTTGTGTGCTACTCTGAAGACCCCAGTAGACAAGTGCCACCTGCAGAGGCTTCTGATGTGGCCGTGCCTGGGAGCAAGGGTACTGTCCATTTGGAGAGGGCTCTGACCCAGTGGAAAGGCTGTGCCAAGGTGGAGAGTATTGTCCACTTAGTGCTAGGAGAGAGAACCAGGTACTAAATTAAGGAGGGGGCGGTGCCTGGGTGGCTCAGTTGTTAAGCATCTGCCTTCCACTCAGGTCATGATCCCAGGGTCCTGGGATCGAGCCCCGCATCGGGCTCCCTGCTTGGCGGGAAACCTGCTTCTCCCACTCCCCCTGCATGTGTTCCCTCTCTTGCTGTGTCTCTCTCTCTATCAAAAAAAAAAAAAAAAATCTTTAAATTAATGAGAATCAGGAGCCTTAAAGTTTGTGAGAAGGTACTCGAATCGACTGTTCTTAGGTGTTTCAGTTTCTTTGAATCTTCCTCAGAATCACTGATCCGTAACCTGGGGCCTGTGTACCTCTCGTGGTTTGGAGATCTGTGAATAGAGTTTGGGAAATTGCACACAAAATTGCTGGGGACTCGTCTTGGGAAGGAACCCCAGCTTTTCTCAAAGGTCTCTGACACCCTGGCAAGGATAAGAACCATTACTTTAGTTACATAGGATTCTGAATACAACGAGAACATTGTTACTAGTTGAGCTATTTATTTTTAGAGGGAAGTTTTACCTAACTCGTATGCTGATCTTTATTCTGATTTACCCATGTTTGTGGGAAGTCCCATGTTTGGACCATTGCCTGCCTTTTGGTAATTGGCCAGTTTCAGGCTTTGTGCCCTGAGGAAGGACGGAAAGCATCTCTAAAGAATGAGGATCGCTAAGAAGGACTTAAACAGTCTGTTTCTGTATCTTTTCTGCCGTGTGATTCCTCAAGTGACAGAAGACCGGTTCTGCCCTGGGCTGCACTGTCCAGGTCCAGCCTAACCCACGGGGCTGCACCGTGTGCGGCGGCCACACCGGGCCGGGACCATCAGCCTCCACACTGCAAGCTGGATCGAGGCAGCCCCTGTGCATGCAGGCCCCGCATGTCAATCCCAGTTCTCGAGGACCGGAAACCACCTCACGTATTGGGGTTCTTCTACTGCCTCCTTTGTTGTGCAGGTTCCCAAAAAGCCAAACATGTCCTTTGTATAGGAATCTTGTTCATTGAGACTTACGTTATAAATAGTGTTACCTTGTAGCTTGATGACCTGTTGCTAGAAATTGTTTTCAAAAGTAGTGCTGTTTAGGATTTGCCTTGTTTCTGCATTTTCAGTGACACCTTGAAAGATTTGGTCCCTGAGAAATGCACCTCCAGTGAAGATGGGGAGAAGGAGGCGGCCCAGGTGGCCCTGTTAAAGATCCCATCCCACCCAAAGGCATAAGTCAGGAGACTTATGGGGCGGGCATAGAGGCAGAAACCCCAATTATTCTGGAGGTCACCAGGGGCATTGCCACTGGTGACCATGTAACCCTCCTTCCAGTAACCGTACTTACTACTGTCCTTTCTGCATAGGAGGCCTTTGGTTTTCTGCTTCCTGGGCCTCTAGGAGCATAGAGAAAACCGTTCCCTTCCTGCCAGCTGCCATGGCATGTCAGGCACAGTCCAGAGGTGACAATCCAGAGTGGCTCTGGGGATCCCATATTCACTTAAGCTGGGGCAGCATGGGGGCTGGGTCAGAGTAACTGATTAAGACAGAGGGGTCCTCCTTCTCAAAGGGCCAGGTTGGACCACTGGTGCAGCTCGGCAGAGACTACTTACCTGAGTAGAGGCAGAGGCCCCTGTGCGACTCTGATTTCTCTTCCCTTCTGACCAAGTTTGGACACCTGGAGAATAGCTGGAACTGCTTTGCTTTTTCAGATCAGCTGTGAGGTGATGGGGAAAATCCCAATACTCAGAAGCCTTCGTTACCGAGAGAGGCAGGCTGGGAAAGATGTCTCCCTTCAGGATGAGCCCCGGCACCTTCTGGGAACCGGCAGCCAGCAGCCACCTCCCCTGAGCACTGTCAGAAGACCGCAGGACCCACACCAGCCCGAATCCTGTTCGGGGCAGGGGGAGGATGGGCCTTCTAACACTGTTTACATTGGGAACCTTCCCCGGGATGCCCGAGTGAGTGAGCTGAAGAAAGCCCTCCGAGAACTGGGTGCAGTCCCTCAGAGGCTCACGTGGCAGGGGCCACAGCGCAGGGCCTTCCTTCACTACAAGGCCCCCACCTCAGCCCAGCAGGCTGTCTCCTGCTTGCAGGGCTTGCGCCTGGGTGCTGCCACCTTGAAGGTGGCACTGGCCAGGCAGCAGAAGGCCGGCGACGAGACAGGCGGCCGTGCAGACGAGCCGTACCCTGACTGTCACTCGGCTGTCTCAGACCTGTGATGATGTGTGCTGCTCTGGTCCCCGTGGAACTTAAGGGGCCTGTACTGGGGACTCAGCGGAGTGTTGCTGCATGAGCTGCTTTGGGCCCAGTCCTTTCCAGGATGTCCCAGCCTTCTGTCACTGCCTGGGACCTCCTGATGAGTAGGAAGCTAGCCATTAGTGCACTGCTGGCACATCCAGGCCCTGCTCTGTCTGGGTCCATCAGCCTGCCTGCTGGGCGTTACAGCCCTGCTGGTTTCTCTGTGGTAGTACAGAGGCTGTGGGGAACCGAGCGGGTGATGAACAAGTGGGAGTAAATGGTGACAGCGGTTAGGAGCGCCTGTGCTCTGGAATTGGGAGGAGGGGGGATTAGTGGGGAGAGGCCCTAGCAGGGATCAGATGCCAAGCACACCCTGCTGTCCTTGGTCTGGTACGACTGCAGGGGGAGAGCTGTGTTCACATCGCAGAAGCCAAGTCCCCTGGCTGTGGACTGCTTGTCACAGCTCCGTGCTAGTGTCAGCGACGGAGGGCCAATCTGATGTGCGGGTGGTGCGCATCTCACTTCTGTGCCTTGCCTTTCTAGCCTCTCCCCATCTCTGGCTGAACACCCTGCACTCCTCGCTGTCTTGTAGGAGGTACTGGTCGTGGAGAAGGCGGTCCCAGCCTACGTCACAGACAGTGACAGATGCTCACACGGATTTGCCCAATGCCTAATGTTTCTTGGGTTTTTCCTCCATTTCTCTGTTCCTAAAAAACAAAACTGGATTTTGGCTGAACTATGCTTTCTAAACAGAAGTGCTTTTGCAGTTGATCCTGGGCAAAAAGTCAAAGTAAGCACAAGTGGAGATTCTATTTTTTTTTAACGTATATGTGTTCAAAATTTTAAATTTTTTCACCAGAGGGTCTTACTGAGCATGTTTTAAGAACACGACCGTACTTCAAGAGGGTACGCCTTGCAGGTACTTTGAATAAAACCTTGAGGCACTATCTCCCTTTGCAAAAGCATTTTATCCTTGGTTTTATAATGACAATACCGTGGATATGTCAGAAAGTCAGTCCTCCCTTCGGTTGCTCATTAAGTGCAGGCTCCTTTCCCCAGGCGTCCTGAGTAAAATGAAGGGCAAAAATGTCTGAACAACAGTCCGGCTCCTCTCCTTTGGGCTTCTGGGCCCACTCTTCTCCCCCTGAACCATCTACCCCATCCACGTGGCTGGTCCCATTTTGTCACCTGGCGCCGAATCTGGTCATCTAACTCCTTACATTTTTAGGGGGTTTTTTCGGGGGGGGGGGGCGGTGCCTCGTTTACTTGTTGTTTCCTTTTTTTTCCATAATATTTTCCTGTATTTGACATATTCTTGTTTAGTCGTTGTTGACTTTTTTATCATTGATCTTTCATCATTAGAGTAGTACTCCAGGAGATCAGGAAATGAGTCTGTGGCTGTCTCGTTCACCCTGCCCTGTGCCCCAGCTGCGAGGGCACCTGGCAGATACATAGCAGCCCAGGAAAAACGGGAGACGTAGATGGATGCATCAGAGCCAAGAGAGGGAGGAGCGTGCCTGATCACAGCACTGGGAGCGTGTCCTGTGCCCGACACCAGCCTGCCTGGGGCTATTGAGTCATTCCCCTCCCAGTTGGGCCAGCTTGCTTGGCTTTGCTGTCCTTCCAGATACGTTGATAAACAGATCATCTGAATGAATTCATTTTTATATTTGTGGGAAATAGTTTAGTATAAGCAAAACCCAAGATCCAAGTGCCTGAAATGTAAGTATCCCAAACGTACCAGCCTGCACGCCTTTTCTCCTTCTCCTGTCGTGGACAGCCTGCGAGTGACAGTCTCTCCGGGCCTCACAGGATGAGTGCTCACAGTATAAGGCAGGTGCTCGGTGACCTGGCTTTTTGTTCCCAAGACTTGGGTATCAGTGTTGGTGGCGATGGCCCTGGAGCCACTTCCCAGGTGACGGATTGTCACGGATGCTGAGATCAGTGGAAGTGGGCAGGGGAGGTAGCAGCACTGAGCCTGCTGAAGAGCATGTTTGTGAGGGGTTTCTGTTGGGCACACCATCTAGAAAGGCCCGGGAGAAGAGCCATTTCCGCCTCGGGGCAGCCCGGGTGTGGTGTGGTCTGGCCCTGGCAATATGGGCTTCTCCCGGGACAGAGGAAGGCACGCACAACCTATGTTCCCCGGCCTGAGAACCCATGGTTGGGCCCCTCCCCAGTCCCCAGATGACTAGATCGTTGAGCTGGGAGCAGTCTGTCCTGTTTGAGATCGGAAAGTCTATGACCACACAGTGAGAAAGCAGAACCTGAGGAGAAACCATTCGGCCAGTTTCTGGAAAACAATCCACATACTGGTGAGTAAACAGAAAGCAGAACAACACAGGGCTTGTGAAAGACTGTCTCAGTATAGAGGGACCTGGTACGTGAGGTGTGAAGAAAAAGCATGTATGAAAAAGATTTCATGAAACAAGCAAGTTCCAGGCTGCATCTGCTCTGTACTCCTGAAAAATTTCAGAAATCAGTTTCCATGTTTTTATGAAAAGGTTGAGTAAATTTTTGTCCTTTTCTGCTCGGATCTCAAATGGGATAGGTAAAGGTATTTTTTAAATGTACAAATACATGGTATAACATTGAAATTCGTACTAGAAGATGTGACGTAGAGAAGAGAGAAGGAAGTCCTCCAGCAAGAAGACTAGAGAACGAGAAGTGAGGCCCTGGCCAGCCGCTCGAGGAGTCCCTGCTGCAGGAGGCAGCTCGGAGCCCACTCTGCGGTAAGCCGCGTGTGCCTTCTCGAGGAGGGGCGCCACGTGCCAGAGTCCCCAGTCATCTGAGGACAGGCAGCATCTCGAAACAGTATCCACCCCTTGTTGAAATACCAGTACGGGAATCAGAAGGTGATTCAAAGGCCATTTCATCTGTTAAAAAGAGAATAAACTGGTAAGGAAAACACTCAGTTTTTAGAAATGAAACACATCATAAACTTAGTCCAGCTGAAGACAAAATAGATGCACATACAGTGAGCTGGAAGGCGAAGGTACATGATTCTTCCTGACATGAGTGCAAAGGGCAAAGAGAGGTATGAAACCGTAGAGGAGATAATCAAATTAAAACTTTGTTTAGCTAAAGAAAAATTTGACTTCGTGTTGAAAAGTCTTCAAAGTCCAAACCAATGGAAGCATATAAATCCGTGGCATTCCCCAACAGTGTCAGTGACTTATAAAACTTAACACAGTAGCAACAAAAACTATTAAGTATTTGGGAATACACCGAATGAGCTGTCCGGGACTCGAATGGATAAAATTATAAAACTTTGCTGAAAAAAATGGGGGAAAGAGCTGAATAAAAGGACATGTTGTGTTCTAGCTGGAGGAGTTCAATATTCTAGTAGTTCTCCCTGTAGTTAGACACTGTATCCCTGACAGAGGTACTTTCATGGGGCTCGTGTGGGTGGGCAGTGATGAATGGTCAGGAGTGAGGGAAGGGGCTTTGTCCTTGGACGCCAGAACCTAAAGCAGCCTGGTATCCGTGAGTCCTTGAAGCAGTGAGGCAGAACAAAGTTCTGAAGCAGGTGGAAATCTGGAACAAAAGAGGAATTGCAGAGGAAGCAAGGATTTGTGGAAGATGGAATGAGACCTGTCGGCTACTCTTTCAAAAGGTGCCTACAGCAACTCAGATTTCTAAATCCTATTGCACATAAAAGTAAATTTCAGGCCAGTCGGATATGTAAACATGAAATATGAAAGAATTTGGGGATAATACCAGAGAATGTATTATCCCACCTATAGTGTCGGGATAGGGAATAGCATAAAAAACAAAACAAAAAAAACCAACCCTGAATTTAAGGAGGAATTTATTCCTTTGCTTCCCCTTGGAATGTCAGATTTGGGTTGGGACGGAATCCTGAGGAACCTCCACAGGGAGCTCTCTGAAGAATACTCCGATTAGCAAGAGTAACCAGTGCGTTTTATGCAGTTATGTAATTAGTAATTTTTTTTAATGCTTTTTTTCGTAACAAGTAGCCTGTTAAACATTAGGTTATATGAAAATCTGGCCCACCAGCCCAGCTGCCCCCTGGACCATGGGTCGGCCCTCCCGCTCGAGCCTCAGTAGTTCTCTTCCAGTGGTCCCATGCTTCACCCCCGACACCACATAAGGGGAAGGAAACTCGTGCCAACGCAGGACCGCAGGTAAGAATGCTGAGAACAGCCAGCACAGTGGAAGCCGCAGGAAGCTGGTGTTGGGCAACAGGATGCTGGAGAGGGTGAGGCGTCGGCGGAGCAGCAGAGAGAAGCAGCAACCAGGTCTCGGGGCTGTAAACCTGAGGCTTGCATGCCACCCCCTCTGCTCCTGCTCCACAGCGGACCTCAGCCATCAGGAGGCCTTCCCACTGCACTTGCGGAACCAGGGTCAGATGGTCTTACAGTGCATGAGATGATGGAACTTTCTGCCTTGTTGCTGAAGGGGCAAATAATTCCCTTCACCACCTCTAATCTTCCTGGGGAGCATCGCCCCATATTCTCGTCTGCCCTACCCCATAGCCCCCCAGAAGCACCTGGCTTGCAGAGGTCTGTGTTTCCAAAATGTCGGTTCTGGCTCTACATCCCCTATCCTGCCGCCTGCAGAAATACATGGGGGTTGCTAAACTTCCCCTTTATCCAGGTTGAATCCAACCAGTGTTCCAAATAGGACAGATATTCCTGAAACTTAAGGACCATGGACTCTAGTCATTCTCAAAAACAAATTTTGAAGTGGGGCGGGAGGTGTCCCAGGGGAGCCTTCAAAATAAATCTTAAGCAGAACCGAATGCATAAAAGCAGGAGGGAGAGGCTGTTGGGTAGGTGAATTCACAATCACTTCCCAGCGTTGTTCTTTACTGGGTGCAGCCCACCTGACCACCCCTCCCCAGCTGCTGAGGGAGGGAATAGCATCCTCAGCTACACTGGCTTGTGTTGTCTGCTGACACTTTCCTCCTGATGACAGCTCAGATTTATTGAGTTGTTTTATTTTTATTTTTTAAAAGCAA